CATCAGTGTGCTATAGGAGAACTTCAAGTAATTGTAGTGTTTGAAGAAGACAGAGAGGGACAGAATAAAAAAAGGAAGAATTGTGGCTGAAAATATTCCAAACTCCAGGCAAACTCTATAACCACAAATCAAGGTCGTCAAACCCAAAACATAGGAAATAAGTAGAAAACGACACCAAAGCACATCATATTCAAATTGATCAAATCCAGTGATTAAAAATATATATATGTTTTTAAAAGCTGGGGGGAGAGGATGGTGAAGATACATTACATACAGAAAAAAAATGATAAAGATTATTAAAGATTTCTCATTAGAAACAATACAAGAACCTAGTGGGATATATTTAAACTACTGAAAAAATTAAACACTAATCTGCCTAAAATTTTATACATAGCAAAAATAGTTTCCAACAAAAAAGGAGAAATACTTTTTCAGGCATTCAAACACAAAAGGAATTCATGACTAACAGACCCACATTACATGAAACACTGAAGGAAGGCCTTCAGGCAGACAAAATGACAACAGATGAAAATATGAATATACATAAGGTATGCAAGAGCACCAGAACTGGTAGCTAAATAAGGTTTTTTATTATTACTTAAGTATCTATTAAAACATTTATTGGCTGATTCAATAAAAATAACAGCAATGCAATGAAGGGTTTATAAACTTGCAGACACAAAATGCCTAACTATCACAAAGGCTGTGAAAGGAGAAATGGAAATATACTGTTGTAAGGCTTTCACCCACAATTTGTGAAGCAGCAGACTGTAATCAGCTAAAACTGCATATATAAACTCTAAAGCAATCTCTAAAATAAAATTATCATTAATAACAAACAAAAGACAAAAAAAACCCTCCATAGATCCAAAAGAGGGTGGGGAAAAAAAACCCATAATAAGTAACAGAGAATAGATGGGACAAATAGAAAAACAAAAACAAGATAATAGACTCAAATCTAACTATTATACAATAATAACGTAAAGGGCAAACAGTTTAAACATCCTAATTAAAACACAATTGTTGTCAGATTGGATTTTTTTTAAATTAAGAACTATATACTATGTTATCATCAAGAAATGCACATTAAATAGAAGGACGAATAGGTAAAAAGCAAAAAGAGAAAAAAAGATATACCATGCTTTGTTGTTTTTAAGCACTGTTGAGTTGGTCTGACTCATAGCAACCCTGTGTAGGGTGTCTGAGGAGTGCCTGGTAGGTTTGAACCACCAGCTCTGAGGTTAGCAGCTTAGTGCTTATCCTACAGCACCACACCAGGACTTAGTAGGAGCCGAAAGAAAGATATGGCTATATAACAAAACAGAGAAGATTAATAAAGAAGGTAATTTACTATAAAGGGATCAATTCGGCTATAACACTAACCCTAAAATAAAGGTTATTTAACTTATCTTAAAAAAAAAAAAAAGTAAGGACGGCCAAGGGAGACGAGCACAGCCCTATCCAGAGAAGCAGCAACAGCAAAGGTGGAGTCAGAGATGAGGACATAGAGAGAGGGAGCAGCTAGGGATTGAGGACTCCAGACTCATGGAATGAGAGGGACTGGGTACTGGAGGCCAGGAGGCAAGCTTACAGAATATGCTCTTTGGTTGTTTAAATTATTATATATTCCTGAGTGTTTCTGTGTAGCTCCACCCCCCACCCACCAAATAAAAGGGAATGGAAGCAAATACTGTTGAATGATAATGCACGGAGGAGATTGTAATTATGGCAATGAAACGATGGTGTAATGCCGATATTCTCCCATGTAAACTATCACTCAATTCACAATAAAAACTTAGAAGAAAATAAGGGAATCAATTCATCACAAAGACGTAACTATGGAGTCCTGATGTGGTGCTATAGGATAAGCACTAGACAGCTAACCATGAGGTTGGCAGTTCAAACCCACCAATTGCTCCTTGGAAACCCTATACCGGGTTGCAGAATCAAAATTGACTCCACAGCACTTAATAACAATAACAGTCACTCAAATTACATGAAGAAAATCCTAATCAAACTGAGAGGAGAAACAAACAAATCCATAATTGCATTTGGTGATTTTAATATCCTTCCTTAGTTGATACAAGAGATCATCAGTAAGGATTTAGAAGACCTGAGCAATAATATCAACCAGCTTTTCCAAGTGGACATCTATAGAAAATTCCATCTGTCATGGACTGAGTTGTATCTCCCCAAAACGTTTCAACTTAGCTAAGCCATGATTCCCAATATTGTGTGGATGTAATTGTCCTATGTGTTGTAAATCCTAATTTCTGCCTGTGGTTGAGGCGGGGTAAAGAAGATTGTTATGTTGTTGTTAAGTGCTGTCAGTTGGTTCTGACTCATAATGACATTGTGTAGGGTTTCCAAGGAGTGGCTGATGGGTTTGAACCGCTGACTTTGTGTTTAGGAGTCTAGTGCTTATCCTACAGTGCCACTGAATCATTGAACCTTACTCAGATCACAATCTTGATCGAATATAAAGTAAGTTTCCCTGAGAAAAAGAAAAATGAGCAGAGAGGAAGGGACTTCAGTACCAACAACAAAAAAAAGAGCTGGGTGCAGAGTGTATCCTGGGTCCCTGTGCTGAGAACCTCTCAGGAAGATTGATGCCAAGACACATGGAGATCACCAAGGAATGCCAGGTCCACATATTGTAAAGAGACAAGGACCTTCCCCCAGAGCCAACAGAGAAACAAAGCCATCCCTTAGTGCTTCCACCCTGAATTCAGACTTCTGGCCTCCTAAAATGTGAGAGAATAAATTTCCATTTGTTAAAACCATCTATTGCATTTCTATTAAAACACCAGGTAATTATGACACCATCCAACAACAGCAAAATATACATTCTTCTCAAGTATACAAAAAAGCATTTACTAAGACAGACCATAAGGAGCTCTGGTAGCGTAGTGGTTACGAATCAGGCTGCGAACCGCAAAGTCAGCAGTTCGAAACTACCAGCTGTTCCGCAGGAGAAAGATGAGGCTTTCTGCTCTCATAAAGATTTACAGCCTCGGAAACCTTGCACAGGGTCGCTATGAGTCGGTTCCGACTCCACAGCACATGACCACCACCACCAGGCTCACTGCAAGTCACCTGACAGCACCTAACAAAAGTAATCTAGCTTATAGCCTGGCTACTGTGGCACAGATACAGATTGTATCGCTGTAGTTCTCAACCAGAGGCACTTTTGAGTCCCTCCTTGCCCCCCATCCCGCATCATCAGGGGACATCTGGCAATGTATGGAGAGGAGACATTTTTAGTTGTCACACCTGATAGGGAAGGAGGACAGATGGTGCTGTTGCTAATGGAAGCTGCTACAAATCCTACAACACACAAGACGGTCTCCAAAACTAAAGAATTTATCTGGCCCAAAATGTCAATAGTGCTTTGGTTGAGAAATCTTGCTTCAGAGCTATACTCCTTGGGTTCAAACCCTATCCTTGATACTTAGGAGTGTAAGTCAAAAAATATTATTACTAGGGTTCCATTTCATACATGCACAAGTTCATTTTTTAGAAACAACATGTTGAAACATGTCTGTGTAATCAGGGGATGGCTGAAGATAAGTTCTCTCATTAATACACTTGTCTCATTCACATTAGGGTGATTTCAAAACCCAGGTCCAGTCAAAACAGTGGCCTTCCAAAGGGACCTGCTGGGCCAGTTCAATTCAAGGCAGAAAGGTCACCTCAGAAAATTATGGTGACTATTTTTGGGATTCCAAAGGAGTAATCTTGATAGATTTCTCAAATGACACAGAACGATAAGAGGGGCTTATTGTTAATTAGCTTTAAGAAAGTTGAAAAGCTGCGTTGGTGAGGAAAAGGCCAGAAAAGTTAAGCCAAAAATTTTTTTTTCTATTTTGACAAAATGTATTATCACAATACATCTGCTATTTCTTCCAGGGTAGCAAGAGCTGTCTCATGAGAATTTCATTAGAAGCCCTTATCCTATCCACCCCACAACCCTAATCTTCACCCTTCAGACTTCTTTTGTTCCCCAAACTCAAAGAACATTTAAAAGGAATATTTAAGTCCCTCAAGGATTCCAAAACTGTCACTTGGAGCGCAGATTCTTTGGGGAAGGGTGAAAGAGATGGAAACACCACCTCCAGACTTGTATACATCTAGATAAAGGAGATGGTGATATTTTGATATTTTTAGTTTAATGAAGATTGGTATGATTTTGTAGCAATACTTTTTGACTTATCCTTGTGTTAGCTGTGTGACCTTGGAATGAGACATGTACCTTGGTTTCCTCATCTGTAATGTTGGGATAATAGGAGTACCTATCTTATAGGGCTCTTGTAAGGAGTCCTGGTGTGGCAGTGCAGGATAATGCGCTGGACTGCAGGTCTGTTTGAGCCTCAAGGTTGGAAGTTCAAACCCACCAGCTGCTCCTCAGAAACTCTATACAGAGTCGCTATGAGTTCGAACCAACTCGATGGCACGTAACAGCAACAACAGTAAGGAAAAAAGGAGCTAATATGTGTAAAGCAGTGGAGCATCGCCTGGCACATCATGTTCTATAAGTCTCAGCACTCATCACAGTAGCAGATGGTCCCGCAAAAGCCTGGATTAGGAGCCACAGGTAGGTTTCACCCCAACGCTTTGACCCACGTGTTACAGCAAGCCAAGACTGGAGTGCCCTGCTGCTGAATACAGAGGGACCGCTGCTGCCCTACTCAGGTTATGGAAACATGGACTTCGGGGTCCCCGAAGTCATCACCAGTAACATCTGGACTGCCTACAGCTGGAACAGAAACCAAGCATTTAATGAAGACCATTGCAAATTCATCCTCATAGACTGCATAGAGGCCCACGTGGCCATCACCCAAGCTTCTGCTTTGTGTGTGTACTATGGAGACGTGGGCTTTGGAAGGCTCAAGGCCAAGGCCCAGGCCCTGGTGCAGTACCTGGAGGAGCTCCTCACACAAGTACAGCATCACAATGGACAGAGACAATCTGGGGTCAGAAAAGGGAAAACCTTCTAGACTGTGGTGAGAGGATGAGACTTAGTTTTTCTAAGAATAAACTTGAACTTCTCAAAAAAGAATCACAGCTGGGCCTAGGAAACTTCTAAGAGATTCAAAACAATCAATGTTCCTCATAGGAATTGTAGGGAACAAACAGTTCCCTACCTATATGTTGTTGTTAAGTGCTGTTGAGTCAACTCTGACCCATAACAACCCTGTATAGGGTTTTTGAGAAGCAGCTGGTGAATCTGAACCACTGACCTTGCAATTCAAACTGACTTTGTGGTTCAGTGCAGGCTCCCACAATGCCACACCAGGACTCCTCCAGTTATTCCTTTATTAAGAACCGAACAAGAGGATAATGAATAGTTTAAAATCAGGAAAGGTGTGGTGTGTGTGGCGTCGTGAATTATTTAATGTCTCTTCTACTCATAGACTTTGTAAACTCTCACCAAACAACTTTTTCCTGATGAGTTTGCAAAGGAGGAAGTGGGGGAAGATGCTGATTGATTATACGATTCAGTTGCGAGTGATTGTTAACTAAGTTCAGTGTGAAAACTTGGAACTCTAACAGGGGTATAAAATGAGCTATCTCAGAAGCAGGACTTGGGGATCTCACTACCATAAAGGAATAAGAGCCAGAAGTGAAGTTCGTCCTTTGGACCCTGAAATCCTTGCTCATGGAGCCTCCTCAACAACAGGGACAGAAAGCTGTGACACTACAGAAGTGGCAGAGGTGTAGCAGCAGCAGAAACAAGAGCCAGAGCACAAGACAGAGCAGTGGGCTTCCCAGCCCACAGAGCAAGTAAAAATGAGACACTTTGGGCAGGAGACTTGCTTGTAGACTGAAGTGCCTTCAGGCATTTAATGGGGGGAAGTAGATTTACAGACCCTTGAAGCTAGAGTCAAGTACCTTCAGACTGAGGCTTAGGTGGGGAGAGATGGTCCATTGGGCATTTATCAGTAGCCTTAAAAGAGCTTCGTAACATTACCAGGGCAGAGGCCTGCCTGTCAGCTGAGGAGAGGAGAGGCATGGCTGAAGAGAGGCTGTCCTGACTAGAACTGTGTCCTAAACATTTCTAACCCCGAGTTGTAACCTGTTAACAGCCCCTGCTTATGTTCGGACTCATGGTGACCCTGGATAGGATTTCTGAGGAGTAGCTGGTGGGTTTAAACTGTCAACCTTATGGTTTACAGTCCAGTGCTGACCCAACAGCATCACATCAGTGCAATGACTGGCCACACAGAACTCATGACGATATTGCTGAGCCCAACTGAGTAGAAGATGCTGTGAGAGGGATGGTTTGGAGCTCATTTTTTTTCCTGCAGTGTGCCTCATGACTGTATTGTTTCATCATACTTATTCAATCTGTATGCCGATCAAATAATCTGAGAAATTGGATTATATTAAGATCATGGCATCAGGATTGAAGGAAGGCTCATTACCAATCTGCAATATGCAGATAACACAACTTTGTTTGCTGAAATCAAAGAGGACTTAAAGCACTTGAGGATGAAATACTAAACCTCCAATACGTATTGCATCTCAACATAAAACACAAATTCTCACAATTGGATCAATAAGTACATCATGATAAATGAAACAAAGATTGACATTGTTAAGGATTTCATTTTACTTGGATTCCCCCATCAATGCCCATGGAAGCAGCAGTCAGGAAATAAAATGCATTGCATAGGGCAAAACTGCTACAAAAGATCGTTGAAAAGCAAAGATGTCACTTTGAAAACTAAGGTGCACCTGACCTAAGTCTTGGCATTTTCAACCACATCAAATGCATGAGAAAGCTGGACAATCAATAAGGAAACTTGATGAAGAATTGATGCATTTGATTATAATGTTGACAAAGAACATTAAATATGCCATGGAATGCCAAAAGAGCAATTAAATTTTTATAGCAAGAAGTACAGCCAAGAGAACAAACAAGATGGCAGACCAAGTGGACGTGTAGTACAGAGCTCCACCAACAACAACACAGAATACCCAACCAAGCAGGCTCAGGGGATGGTCCCAGAACTCTGAACCACATATAAAGGAATATTTAGAAGGTTGGAAGGCTTA